CTACTCTACAACTTCAAAAGTATTATACGGAGTACAATGACGGTGGACGGATTACGGGGGGGAGGGGAGGAAAGAAAGGCCGTGAGGAGCGAGCGCTCCGGGTATTACTCGGGCATGATGGCCTATCATCCTTTCCAACCCGTAGCATGTAGGTCACGACGCTCGTAAATGCGACTCTGATGGAGTCTCATCGCTAGCATTAGCGGTGTTACCCGTCCATCCTTAGCAACTGCCGTTTTGATGTAATTGATCAGCGCACAGCCGAAGCAGAACCACCAGCAAAGCACATCGCACTCCGTACGGGTAAGCGAAACGCACGGGGCTCTGTCTCAGTCTTCTCCCGACGGTGTCGGTTACGAGGATAGATCAGAGCAGGCGATGAATGTAGGGTGAATAAAGCAGTCGTTGGTCCTAAAAATCGAAACGGGTAGCGACGCCAGAAACCCAAGTCATTCCCATCAAAAGTTTGGTCGTGCGTGTTTAGGTGTCAAATTCTCGTCTCTTCTTTCATCGATCGCGCTGAACTCAGCAGTTTTTGCGTCCGAATCCGGCTTACTTAAGCTACGTACGGTTGCGCTGCAATCTTATCAGAAGGAACGCCCTCGCTCAAACGCACAATACCGCGAAGCTTGAGCCCCGCGGCCTAATTTAGCCGCCGTCTTCGCCGAAGTCGACCCGGGGGGGAGTGGGTCATATCTCTCTGATGCTCTACGTGTACGAGTGCTACCAGGAGAATTGCATACACGTCGACGAAAAGAAAGATATATATCATACGTAGGTAGACTTACAGACGGAGATACGGAATCCAGCAGCCGACTCATTATCACAGCACTACACTGATGAGCACTGACCAACGCGGAGAGGAGCCGTCGGTACGTACTCTGCCCACCCACGGACTCGCAGTGGCTCTCGCTCCGCAAACCCCGGTAAAAAGGGTATTTCTTACCCCAGAGACCACAGGAGCACGCGATCAGGACGGTGCCCCATTACATACTCGTATACAAGTTCTCGTACAGTGAGCATCTGTGCTGTGTGTGCAGGCATTACCAACTCTCTCCCCCCTGATTTGGCACAGCATCTTCTTACCGTATCTACAGACTACTACCCAGGCGGACTTGCCTTTTTCGGTATGAGTTTATTACGCTCCCCTGTCCGCACACAGCTCGAACGGTGGTCTATTATCTGTACCTTTTTTTTTTTTTTGTGTGTGTGTGTGTGTGCTTTTCTTTTCCTTTTCTGGGGGTCGGAGCCCAGAGCGATCATCACCCGGTATTTTATCGGATTTACCTTGGATTGTTTCTTCTTGCTTCAGAGTGTTTCTTCTTTGCTTTAGAGTTAAAGAGGGAAGGAGCAACCAACAGACCATGACACACATGAGAAACATCATGGCCATGTCCGTCGCACGACTGGACGTGCTAAATCGGTGGCAAACCCGCAATGGTGAGTACTGACAGCCCGTTCCATCACCTGCAATACAGAGCACACAGAACAGGCACGGGAAATAGATACGAGTATATGAGGAACACGGCACACACCCCCGCCACCGAAAAGAGAAAAGCAAAGGAAAGGAGAAGGAAAAAAAGACTTTTACCTCCCCCCTCCCCCTTTCGGCCAACATTCTACGCGGCCTGGGCCCCATATCGTGGGGTCTGGGTAGCGCTACCCAACTGTGCTCGTACAGAGTACGCGGGGCTCCAGATCCCGACGTGCAGCTAACCCCGGTGTCGTCGGATCGACAGCAGCGGAGGAGAGAGACTCTTTTGGCTTCTCCTGTCTCTCTCTCTCTCTCTCTCTCTCTCCGTATTCTCCGTCACCCCCCTAGAGTAGATAGAGGCTAGTTATCGTCATGTAACCGTTTCCTCCTCCCTCCATCCTTTCTTTCGTCTTCTTCTTCCTCCGTCTCTACCTGTAGACCGTGCGTACTGGCTTGGCTGGTGGTCCCCCTCCCCACCAAGTGCCGAGATAGACTACCACCTCTCCCTCCCTCCTGACGTGCCTAATCTGGAACCATCTCGCCTAGGACAAAAGTCGACTGCCAACCCCAACCCCAACCCCAACCCCAACCCCTGCTCCTTGGCTTCCGGGAATATGTCGCGCGGGGGCGCACACGTCGAGGACGAGCAGACTTGGAGAGAGTGTCCGGACACACGATATGTGCATTTTAGCCGAGATGCCATTGCATGCAGCATCCTAACTACCTATACCCGATGTCATCTGGCGTTACGTCACGTAGTATGATGATTAGAATACGCATGCATATACGGGTTAAGAAAGATCAGTGCAAATGTCAAGAGAGCATTGATTCCGTAGGGTCTGTGACGGGTACGGTCCCACGGAACAATGACTCTACGACAATCAGTATATATGTATATATATATATATATATATATATATATATATATATTTACAGGTACTCACCGACTTCCGAAGGGTAGGGAGCACTGGCAGCAGACACGCTCATGGTCTGTAAGCGAGATGCGAGTCTCTCCGTGCAGAGACAGGCTGGATGATGCTTGTGGTTGCTGATGACGACTTGCATCGTTGCGACGTAGACCATCGCGCTCGTACCATTGCTCGGTACTGCCGGTACTAGGTAGCAGGTGATATCAGTAGATGGACGGTCTTGTGTGTTGAGACTGTGACGTGTGCTGCGTGTTCCAGTAGGAGTAGAGTACGGCTGGCAAACACCAAACGAAACATCGCCGAGATCTCTGACGATTCCCCTGCTAGCCTCTAGGTAATCATAACATGATATTGCCCCAGTCTCCAGATGCCCCATGGAGAAGAGGGAGGAAGAGAGGCGGGGGGGGGGGAGAGAAAAAACTCATCAGCCTCATGACCAAGGCGGGTCCAACAGATTGGAGGAGAAGATGGGGGGGCAATAAAAAAAAACCCCACGATCAATATCCCCCCCGTTCCCACACTCTTTTTAAGACCTGTACAGCATGGGGTCAGGTTATCGTATTCTGGAGAGCCTGGAGAAGGGACAGAGGGGACTGCACTAATTACCGATAATTCATTGGGCTGGGCCGCACTTGGAAGTGGGTGGTGGGGAGGGAGGGGGGGTGGGGGGGTGCACAACTCAAAAACCCCGAGACTCGGGAAATCTTCCTTTACCTACAGGCTAAGACTACAGTTTATTACTGGGCCAGGCTACATATACAAGACTCTTGTGGACGGCGGTACTCCGGTCGTTCTTTTTTTTTTTCCGCATCGACGACGGGTGGTGACCACGGGCTGGTAGGGCCGAAGGATGTGGTCCGGTGTCTACCAGTTCACAAAAGTACCATGTACGTACCTCTTATTCATTATTCCTTCCACGCAGTGATAGACTACGTACTCGTAGTGATATGTACAGGCGCTCGGGCACTGCGGCACTATTACAACTCTGCACATGGAGGTGATGATGATACTACCGATTATACGAGTAGCACGACTACACGGGACAAGTCAACGTAGGACATGCTCTGCATATGTGATAATGTCATGGAACTTGTTATATAATCCGTACAGGAGCCGAAATCTGGTTGATCCAGACCCAAGTGCCGGACAACAGTCACAGAGCCATGTTGTACGTAACGCACGTAAAGGCAGCGTCGATCTGGACTGCACAGCCAAACGTCAGGTATTCACGACTACCTGTCTGGGGCTGTACCTAGCGATATATCAGCATTATCACTCCTTCCGATACCCTGAACTCTGCAGCCGCTCTCCGTACAGGTTATTGACGTTACCGCGCAGTACATACATGTACGAGTAGAGGCAGTAAGCTACACGAGTCCCCATCCTATAAAGTTATTAGTCTCTCCGTAATACCGAGAATCCTGCCAAGATGGCAGGCAGGCGCCGACGGAAGGCCGACCGAGAGACGATAAGCATTGATTAAAATACGGGCCGACAGCACCCCGGGAGAGATGATATCGTTTCCCTACATACCTATGATGAGGTCCATCCTTTGGCCATACGCTGTACGCGTAGAATACGACGAGTAGTCGTACGACCTAGAAATAACAATGCATAGATAAAGAAAAAGAGTAACGCCGAAATGGCGTCCCCTCGAGAATCCAGGAGGCTTAGCTTGGCATGAGCTCCTGTCTCTCTCTCTCTCTCTCTCTCTCTTTCATTTTATTGTTTCCTTTAAAAAAATTCTAATTCTTCTAATTCTTCTGATTTTTAACTTTTAATTATTATTTTTTTAATCTTCTGCTTCTCGGTCCAATGTGATCCATTCCCAGGGAAGGCGGAGGAGGGGGGTGTGTGATAACTCTACCAGTCCGTCAATGCCAGTAACAAACAGGTAAGCCAAGACAAGCAGGCCAACACATGTAGCCAAGACAGGGGCAAGAGAAGGTAGAAGGAAGAAAAGGGCAGCGAAGAAAGCTTGGCCTTCTCTGCCTCTCTCTTTCTCGGTCCTTTTCCCCTGACGGATGCAGCTCTATTCTGGTCTGTCACTGGTAGTACGTGCATGATACACGCTGTGCGCTCGCTGTCATGAGTATTACTACAAGCAACTGTATTATTACTGGATATATGCACTTATCAGGATTACATTACAGTGCAGGTTACCACGGACACCTGGTCAGTAGCAAGAGTATCGAGGTTAATATTAGCAGCCCCCAAACAGATCACGCCAATCATGTCCGGGGGAGGCGTTTAATATATCGGTTGAGAGTTTCTATTACTAGTGCTAATCATTCTCGACGACTTTTATTTTCAATCCACAGACGCAGAGTCCGGTTATATCTAAGCTGTAAGCTCTCCAGCGATGAATGAGTGCACGTTTTGAGTCGACCGTTGACGGAGGGAGTAGTCACGAGCAGACTTGATATCTGCATATGCACGTATACACCGTATAAGAAAATATATTCTTATATATATTATCATCTATATCATGTGCACATGCTCCTTCATATATGCACAAAACCATACTAGTCGCTCCCTCGCAGCCGCTCCGTCGAGCCTCCCGTCTGTTGCACCATGACCACCTTCACGCTGTAGCCATGGAGCCTTGCTACGAGGATGAGGACTTGCTACTCATACCACTATCCGTACGAGTATACGCCATTATCGTCACTGAGTGACAGTCGCCGCTGTTCCTAATCTCACCCAGGTCTCCCTTGTATTTCATCCTCACCAGCCTTCCCTGTCTCTTCTTTCCCTCTCATGCCCTCTATTATTGGGAGAGAGAAAATGAAGAGAGAAAGAAGAGGGAGGAAATATTACTCCACCATTAACACAAACCCCCTCCCCCTCTTATTATTATACCCCCCGTAATACTCCATTGACCGTTTCGTCTTCCCTAGCATCCCCTCCCCTCCTCCCCTCCAAAAAGGAAAAGGTTTCCTCTAGAGTCAAATTAGAACCGCACACACGCACATACATACACATACATACACATACACACACATACACACACAAAACCACGCATAGCACCCCTTACATACACACATTAACGGCACACATGGATCCGTCATCGGTCCCTCCTCGGTCAGAGTCCGCCGAGACAGCCGATGCGGACAAGACCCCAGCTCCTGCTGCTCCTGCTGCTCCTGCTGCTGCTGCTGCTGCTGCCGCTGCCGGTGGTGCGCCCGTCTCCAGCTCTGGTGCGTCTGCATCCGCCCTCGTCGCCGACCTGGTCACCGACGGAACTGCAGCCCCGGCTGCCATGGACACGAGGCATATGGCTCGCTTTGAGTTTAGCGACGTCGGAACCAAGATACTCATGGTTGAGTGGTTACCTGAAAGTGCGGACCCGACTGCTACTACTACCACCGCCCAAGACGCCACCGCAACCACCACCACTGCCGTTCCCCCTTCTACCACTGCCACTTGTACTTCTGTCAGTGGTGGTGGTCAAGGAGACACTGCCGGCTCCGGCTCGTCGGCACCGGCACCGGCACCGGCATCGGTTAACAGTGGTGCGTGGGAGGTATCGTGGCCCGGTAAGTCCGTCACGCTCCCTGCCCGCGACACCACCGACGACGACGACAAGGCCCACACCACCAACCGTCGCCGCGTCTTCTTCCTCCTCCCGCAGGACGCTCCCGTCCCTGCCACCGTCATCATCACCCCGCCGAACGGGGACGGCCCGGCCATCCGCGTGAAACCCCTGCCGGCCATCTTCCCAGAGGGCTTCGGCGCCCGCGGCACCGCCAGGGGCTCGCGCGGCGTCCTGCACACCATATGGGCCAAGAAGCGGCTGCGCGAGCTCGAGAGGGAGATCGACGCCGAGGTCCGCGCCAATACCGAGAGTGTAGCCGTCGAGATGGCCCTGGCCGAGAAGCAGTGGATCGTCGACACCTTCCTCAGCCCCCCTACTCCTCCTGCCCCCGCACCGGGGCCTCTCAAGATCAGTACCAACACTGCCGGTGCCGGTGTTGGTGCCGGCGGTGGCGGTGGTGACGCTCCTCCTACGCCTAGGTCTCCCGTGTCCAGTGGTCGTCTCGGCGATAAGCTCAAGGGTCTGCGTCTGGCTACGTCTCCGGCCGATCTGGCCTCCTCGCCAGGTATGTTCTGTCTCGACCTCTGCTTTCTCGCCCTGAGTGGTGGTAGTTGATGGATGGAAAGGAAAGGAGAAGATGGATAACGGAGGGGAACAAGGACTGACACGCTGCTTCTTCTTCTTCTAGCCAACACCTTCACCACTGCTGGCAGCCAGTCTGATACCCTGTCCCCCATGGGTGACGACATTGCCATGCCATCCACACGCGCCGCCATGGCACGACCAGTCGGAGCTCCCATGTCCCTGGACGCCGCCCTCCAGGGAGGAGTCCCTGCTGCGGGGCCAACACCCGCCGACGACGAGGAGAGCGACCTGTTTGCCCTGCCGATAAGTCCGCGCAGCCCAGACATGAAGAAGAGCCCGTTCAGCATCTTTTAAGGATGACGCCCCTACGTTCAAAAGCACGGGGGAAAACCCCCTACACATGTATATACTTGGGGTTGGGAGTGGGAAAGGGTAATTTTTCTACACCAGTACATATTCTATGTGACATGAAGACATGAGGCAGGCAATCTTTGGTTTTTTTTTGTTTTTGTTTATTTGCCATGTCTACTAGTATTTTTTTTTTCTTTTCGTCGTTTTGTTTCTTGCATAGCGCTGCCCGGGTGATAGCGAAATCCCCTAAAGAAAAGGAGAGAAGCTGGCTGACGTTGTTCGTTCATCATTAATATAAACATACACACACACACGCACACACACACACATATATATATATCGCAAACCCTTTGACATATGTGACCTTGGGGGAAAGAATTCCCATCATCTCCAACCCCCCACCCGTCCCTCATCCCACCTCTCTTTCCTCTCCTGGCGCAGGTAATACACGACCCTAGCCTCCCTATACCTCCTGACCCAATCGGCCGTCTCCCTCTCGGTGGCGGTGGAGGCGGCGTCGTCGGCGCCGACGTCGAGGAAGCTCTCCTCCATGGCCTGGCAGACGGCCTCCTGCTCCTGCACGCCCTGCGCGAGCCTCTGGTACAGGCTGGCCGGGCCGAGCGGGGCCAGCGCGTCGTCCATGTCCGACTGCCTCTGACGCCACTGCCTCTCGAGCGCGTGCGTGCTGAGTAGCTGGGCCTGCGTGGCGGCACGCTGCGCCGCCAGCCGCGACTCCATGCCCGCCGTGTGCGCCGCCAGGTCTATGTTGTCCTCCAGGGCGGACCGGAGCAACGACTGAGACTCCAGGAGTGAAGGGTGCGCCGTCCGGGACGAGTGCGTCAGCGCCTGGAGCACCTTTGCGTCTGCTAACATGGCGGCAATGTCTTGTTTTCTGCTTGTTTTGGTTTTGTCAACATCATGTTTCTTGTGCAAATTAAAAATCAGGCGGGAAAAAAAATAAGCACATGACAACAACAACAACAACAACAACAACAGAGAAGAAGGAGAAGAAGAAGAGGAAAGGAAAAAATAAAAACGAAATAAAATAAAAACATACGACTTATCCTTTATAAATTCTGGGAGCCACTCGTCTCCTGGGTCGGGAATGCTGCTGGATGTCCTGGACATGTGAGGTGCTCCACCAACACCAACACCACCTGCTTCGGGACCGACAGACGGCTTGGTACGTGTGGGCGTGTTGATACCACTCGACTCGTGGCTGCCCGGCTTTGGGGGAGGGGCGGGCGGCGTCGATGCCGATATCCCGTGTAGTTCGGGGGTGAAGGTCGCCATGGTGGGTTTGTTGCTTTGTTTCGAGAGATGATGATGTGTAAAGTTGAGATTGAGGGGGTCGATGTCTCAAGGTAACGAGCTATTACTTACTACCGAAACAGCATTTCATGAACCTCACCTCACATCTATATGAAACTACCCAAACGCACAGCATCTTCATTCACTTCCGTACACATGCCACTGCTCTAGAACAAAACGGAAAAAAGTGAAGAACAAAAAAAACTCCAGTGAACGCTTTGATATGCTGCTACTGCATTATACTGATTCATTCCTTTCGTGACGTGACGAATATTGCGTAGTACAGGGTAAGTAAGCAGAGATGATAGACTACTGTGATGACAGAAGTAGTAAAACGAGATGATTGTAGAAACAAAAGGTATGACAAAAAAACTCCGATTCTCCCCCCCTTCCCTTCCCTAAAGATCTCTCGTTTCATGTTCGCGCGTTCTTGACTACGACTTTACAGACCATAAATCTCTCGACCACCCCATCTCCCGGAGCTTCTTGTTCACCGTCCCCGCCGCCCTCTTCTCGCTCGTGGTTATGGCCAGAGCCTTGCTGCTGGCGGCAAAGGCCCCCAGCAGCTCCTTGACCCTTCTTGACTCGACAAAGGCGCCCTCTAGGTCCGATCCGCGCTCCGTCACCAGCGACGCCAGATTCATGCACTCCAGGAGCCAGTCGCGCGACAGGCCCGTGCCCGCGAACTGCAGGGCGCTGACGTACGCCAGAACCGTCTCGGGGAGGTACGCCCGCCGTAGCTCGCCGAGTTCCTCGTCGCCGCCTTGGATGCCGGGGAGGAGCCAATTCTTGAGGAGCGGCTCCATAGTGTCCTTGGTGACCTTGATGGCATCGCCAATCTGGTTCCAGAAATCGCGCTGCCCAGTAGGTGCCCTGTTTCCTTATTGTCAGCATTCTTTTTGCTCTCTTTTGATCCCCCCCCCCCCCCCCCCCCCCCCCCCCCCTCTAATACTCCTCCCTCCCCTCTGCTCTCTCAACTCCCTAGTTTGACCTCGTTTTTTTCTCTTCTTTCTTCTCTTTTTTTTTTTTGGTGACTTCACTTCACCCATTCGCTTCTATTGCTCGCAGGCGAGCGACTCTTTTCTCTCTCTTTTTTTCTCTTCTTTTTCCCGCCCCTCACATCTTCTTTTTTTCAACGTTCAAACTTATCGCGGCCGGTACTCGATATAATATACACCTTTTGACGGATAACACCTCTTTAATTCAACCCCATTCAACGACAAGATACAGATCAAACCTCTCCGAAAGAGAAAAGAAAAAAAAAGAGAAAGCAACGCTACCACCCGAGAACAAACATAAAAAAGAGAGAAGAAGAAGAGGAGAAGAGGAAAAGAAAACACACAAAGACACCCAGAAAGAAAAGAAAAAACCCCCAACGTCAGCATGGGTAATAACCTCTCTTCCACCTTTGAACCCGACCTGTCCGGCGTCGTCCTCGACCCGGGAGACAAGCGAGACGACATCATCATGACCGTCGCCTTCTTCGGATCCCTCTACGTCGTCGGCATCATCTGGGGCACCTGCTCCCTCATCGACCGCTGGAGCGGCGTCCTCACCCTGGGCAAGAGGAAGCAGACCTCGTTCGGCTCCGTGCTGGCAGCCGCCTTCCTCTCGTTGGCCTGGCCCGTCGTGGCCGCCTACCTCCTGTATTCTCCGGAATGAGCTCTTTTCCTTCTTTGTTTTGTTCTCTGTTTTGTTTTTTATCTTCTCTTCTTCTTCGTCTGTCAAGGTCGCCATCACGTATGACGTGCGGAGGGGGGTGGTGGCAGGAATTCAGGGCTGGGACGAGCATCGGTTGTCTGGGTGTAATGGGATTTCGGCCGGGGTCGCCTTTCTTCTTCTCTCTTCTCTCTTCCCGTCTTGTCTTCTTTGTTGGCTGGGATTCGGGCAAGAGCAGGCAGAGATCAATAAATGATTATTCGGATGCATTCTCTCCTTCTCTTTCTTCCCCTTCTTCTCCTCCTTCTCTATCCTTACCTCCTCCATACCACCTGGCCTCTTCCTCTCGACGTCACCCTACCAGTGTATTCCGTCTGCTCCGATCGGGACGGCTATCCTTCCTGCCGATGATCGACTCGAGAGCCTGCTGCAGAGCCTTGACGTCGTATCGGCCCCCGCTGGGCCCGTAGACGCGGATGGCGTCGATGCCCACCTGCGACAGCCTATGCCTGTCCACCTTGGGCGCACCCGGGCCGTCCAGGTATACGACGTGCGTCACGTACCGGCAGTACTCCTCCGGGCGGGGCCGCGGCGTCCCCCTCGAATAGGCGCACGCGCCGGCGATGGCGTCCACGAAGTCCAGGCCCGTCAGCGGCGCGTCGGACGGCCCCGTCTCGCGATCCGTCGTGCCGTTGAGGATGAGGATCTTGCTGCCGACCGACGGGCCGGCGATGGCGTCCCCCACGCCCTTGAGGACCAGGCTGGGCACGAGGGAGGTGAAGAGGGAGCCTATGCTGTAGACGACCGCGGCGGCCCCCCGGACGGAGTCGATGACGCGCGGGCTGGCAGGGATGCGGATCTCCTGGCCGTAGGGGTTGATGTACCAGATGCGCTCTATGCGCGACGCCAGGTCCTCCTCCCCCGTCTTGGAGAAGGCCATGGCCGGCCGTCTCAGCGCGGGCAGCGACCCGGGAAGGTTGGCGTCCTCGACCTCGTCGTGCTCCTCCGCGTCCTCGGGCGTCTGCGCACCGGCGGCGCCGGCCGAGATGCCCGTGCCGGGGACGGCGCGCGTCGGCTGGCTGGGGTGCGAGATGTCGTTCTGGCCCACGATGACCGACCCGTCGGCCAGCCCTGCGGCGATGTGGTGGGCAAAGTTGGTGTTGATGGCCGGCAGCACGCGCACGCGGTCGTCGGGCACCCCGCAGATGGTCCCCAGCAGGTAGACGGCCGCCTCGAAGCTGCCGGTGAACAGGCGGGCGCCCGTGAGGAACAGGTTGCCGACGCTGGAGCCGGAGAAGTCGAACCGGCTGGTCGGCCGCATGCGCTTGACGGCCTCGAGGTTGAAGCTGTTGAGGTACGACCGGATGAGCTCCCGCTTGGGCGACGATATGCCCTCCCAGAGAGGGTGCGTGGCCTCGAGGATCTCGAACCATTCCACCCTGGCCGCCGCGGCCGATCTCGGAAGCCGGTGATTGAGCAGGTGGCCGACGGCCTTTGTCTCGGGGCCGGCGTGGTCCGGGGTCAGACGGAGAAGACGGGATCTCACATCACCGATGCCTTTTGTCCTTGTTTCTCGTCGGTTCGTCCCACACACGAGAGCAGAAGGAGAAAAAAAGTCAGGATTCATCGAGAGTACGGTCTTGTTTGTTTGCTTGTTTTTCTTTTTCTTTTTTCATTGGTTTTTTTTTTTTTCAACACAACGTATACATGGACTGGACGTTACACACCCGGTCCGCCAAACACGCGGATTATCTCGCTGCTGCTGCCGCCATTGTCTGATATGGGGATCACGTAGCTGAGCGTGCAGGCGTTGGCGTCGCGTACGTGCTCGAACACGTCCACCAGGCTGTTGGAGGCGCTTCCGCCCGAGAAGACGACGATGCCGCCGCCCCGGCTTCCCGGACTGGGGCTCACAGCTCGACGCCCCCCCGATGATGGCAGCTGCGAGGCTGTCGACGATGTCGGTGCGTCTGCCGCGCTGGGGTCGGCGGGGGCTAGCAGTCCGTTTCGAGACGTGGATCGAGGCATTCGGCAGTTAAGTCGGTGTGTGTGTGTGTGTGTGTGTGTGTGTCGCACGAGAGAGAGACAAATGTCGAGAGATGAATGGCCGAGTCGACAAGCCGTCTCTCACAGCAGCGGTAAGAAGAGAAGAAGAAGAAGAAGAAGAAGAAGAAGAACGAGAGTACATTCGGGAGCGAGGTAGAGTTGGCACGACTCTCGTTGGTTGATGTCATGCACAGACAACTCCGCCCCCACACATGCATACGCCCTCTTCTCGTTCTTTTTCTCTTCCCCATCTAGTACCCACAGTGTTTATTCACATACGAGCTTGGTCAGTGTCGATAATTGCATAGAGAAGCCATATGTCTATATACCGCTTCCCCCCAAAACATATAATATGACGCTATCCGGCTATCTCTCTGTCCAGGCACCGCCCAACACTCCTTCCTATAGCAATATTATTCATCTATCTCACTACGAGCATCATAGTATTACCACCATGACCACACCACAGCAACAGCGCATGATGTGCTGAACACCACCAGCACCTTCAGCGTCCCGGATTTCTTCATGACCATGAGGATCCGATCAGCATATCGACGAATTAATGAAATAAATAAAAAAAATAAAAAATAAAACCAAATAAAAAACCAAACACCGGGTCAAATGCTGAGAGGAGACATACCACATCAACCGTGCGACGTTGCCGGCAACTCAACTCGTCTCATATTCCTAAAGGGGAAAAAGAACTCAGTCCCATCATGTCAGGAGCAAGTGCGGTTCCGTCTTGCCCCACGATTACGTCAACCGTCGACGAGCAGTTGCCGTACGGGTACAGGTATATATGTATGTAGAGAAGTAAGAGGGAGGGAAAGGAGACTAGGAGCTTCTAGATTCTAGAGCTCCTGCTGTGCAGAATTAATAATGGTCAGAGAGGAGAGAGGATAAATATCTCTCGTCTGCTTCCTTTTCCCTCCTCCTCCCATCGAACATTTCATATCCCCCAACCGGCTCTCCTCATATACCGCATCACCCATCACTTCGCATAGCCACTCACAATGGCTCAGGACATTCCCAAGACCATGAAGCAGTGGACCGTCTCCGGCAGCGATGGCTTCGACTCTCTCAAGTTCTCCCATGTTCCTGTCCCCACTCCCGGTGACGGCGAGGTTCTCGTCAGACGTGAGTCCCGACCCCTTTATTCCCATCCCACCATCTTCTCCTTTTTTCTTCTTGTTGTTAACATGAGCAGTCCGCGGTGCTTCTCTGAACGTGAGGCCTTATTCTCTCTCTCTCCTTAGCTCACATATATATATATATATATATATATATCCCCTCTTCCCTCTCCCCTCTCCCCTCTCCCCC